TTTGGCACAACCTAAAATTTGCAGTTTTCTCCAATGTAGACACCATTATTCAATATGGCCGCCACAGATTGTACATACTTGAAAATTATGTCATAGTGAATACTTACAGTCACAGTTGTACAGAATTCACCTTAGAATGCATCACAAATTGTGCATGTTTGTTTTCATTGAAGTAACCGTTTGTTAGCTTCAAGACTGCACTAATGTGACCTTTGACCTTGGAGTCATCAAGGTCACCTGGTGACCCCAAGGTCAGCAGGAAAAACATTTACATATATTCAGTGACATCACCACTGAATTTGATTAGGATACTGTTTACCACTTAGAACTGGTGTTCATTTTAATAAACACCAGAAATGTCTGTTAATTAACACCATTTTTTTTCTCTGTTATGTAAATAAGCTTAATTAAAGTACATTAAAACTACTACCTTGAATGACAATATCTCCTGTCTTATTCATTCAATATTAACAAATGAGGTGTCCTTTTGTTGCATTTTTAGTGCTTTCTTTTTTTGCAAGCAGGTCATTAAAACAGCTTTTGAAAAATGTCCAAGTGCCTAATTGTTGTATATCGTATGTACTCTATATGATGTCTAAAACAGGTCCCTCTTAAACGAGTCCTCATGACTCAATGAGACTACCTGTATAAATAAAGGTTAAATAACTAAATAAAACGTCTTTAAACAAGTAGAGCCTTACGTAAGCTTTCACTGCAAAGCTAACAAAAGTGAGGGGAAAAACGAGTGACCTCGTGGGATGTCGATGAAACCGTTTAGCTGGAATTCAAAACTATAATTAAGACAAAACATATCTTGTTTAAAATTACTGTGACGCTGTGATCAAAATGCCACATTTATCGTGAAATCATAGCTGTTAATAGCAAGCATCGTCGACGACCTGGCCGACGGTGGACAGCGCTAAGCTAACGTTAGCTTTACGGCTAACAAGGCCCGATAGCTTTCAGCTTTAGCCTTAGCTCGTGCTATGTTCGTCGCAGTTAGGTCTCGAATGCAACACTTTTTTCATCATATTTTCATAAAATGGCCCATTGGACAGAGGCCGAACTTACACAACGGACAAATGCTCGAACAAAATCGAAAGTGCAGAGGAACACACTGCAAATGGGTCCGGCTTCGGTTAAATTCAGTGCAGCTTCGACTCGAAGAAGATCGGTTTTCTTTTCTTCTTCGTGTGTTTTCTTTTTGTTTGTTTGTTTTTGCGGTTGACAAACTAAAGGTTCTTCTTCGTCGCAGACAAATTATGTGGTTGCATACTGCCATCTACTGGACTTGGTATGTAAAAGCACACTTTTAGACAAGGTTTTTTGAAACTATTTCTTGTAACATTTTAGTCTCTCTGTTTGTTTATGTAACGTAATTAAATTTATGTAAAATAATATAAAAGCGTATGGAAAATATATTCTTGGGTTTTGCAGTTTTCTTATGTACCTTTTATCCAGTCTTAGTCTAATGTTGCCTAAAACACAATGTATGTCTTTTGCCTACATGTTGACAAACTTCTGATATTTAGAATGCTCTTAGCCTCAAAAATCAACTCTCACACATACATGTCTGTGACTAAGGAAAAGTAATCTCCAGAGCCTCCTGATGCATGCTCAATAATGCAGGCAGAGAAATCTAACAAGGTTGAGGAGGAGCTGCAAGCTCTGTTCTCTGCTTTGCTTGCGGCACCTCAGACTGAAGAATTTGTCTGGATAAAAGACGAAACGTTTCAACAAAGAAGAATACATCCAGAGGGCCTGACTCAACCTTGTTAGAATCTCCAGAGTGTATTACTGAGATTACAAATATTTCTGAAAAAGCAGGAGCGTAGGTCACAAAGGTTCAGATACTTTGGGTCGACTTGTCCAGGAAAACAGGGAGTGTTGTAAAAAGGTGAAAAAGAGAGTCCAGGCAGAATGAATTGGATGGAGAAAAGTTTCTGGAGAGTTGTGAAACAATAGGGTGTCAGCAAAGGTCAAAGGAAAAGTTTATGAGATGTTAGTGAGACCAGCTATGTTGTATGATCTGGAGACACTGGCACTGAAAAAGACAGAAGAAAGAACTGGAAGTGGCAGAAATGAAGCTGTTGAGGTTCTCCTTGGAAGTGACAAGGATGGATAATATTAGGAATGAGATCATCAGAGAGCCTGTGATGGTTTGGACATGTCCAGAGGAGGGACACTGTCACTGTGTATATTGACAAAAGGATTTAAAAAATGCAGCTGCCATGAAAGGGGCAAAGACGAGGAGAATAGGTAGACTGGTCTGAGGCAATAGAAAGGCAACAGTAGCTCAAACAACCTTTTTTTTTGTTGCAAACATTGTTTGCAGAACACCATTACTGAACACCTGTCAGCCTGTAAGCAGATGGGCTACAGCAGCAAAACCACATTGTGAATGTCATTGCCTGCTAAGAACACTAAACTGAAGCAACAATTCCCACAAGCTCACCAGGAGTTAGGAAAAACGTTGTCTGCTATGATGAATCGCTGCAGACACAACATGGCTGTGCATGACAATCCTAGTAGATCATCACTTTCTAAAATAACCAGACCAGCTCATCAGGCACCATCAGCCGTATCACTGTAACTGTCTTCCTTCTTATTTCTGATGCTCAGTTTGAACTTTAGCAAGTCGTCTTCACCATGTCTGCATGTTGCAGGTGTAACTACTAAAGATGCCGGTGAGCCTGCCACATTAAACAAAACACAACTGATTCGCCTGACGTATCAGATCTGACTTTGTCTCATCTATCACAGAAATTTCTCCCAAACAGAAACATGAGATTTGGCAACTTCCAGTCTGCCTTTTAATGATTTATTTTATTTTACTTTATTTTATTTTTACCTATAATGGCATTTTCTTGTGTATTCTTCCATGAAGCCCATTATGACTCAAAAAGCGATGGATAGTGTGGTCAGAAAGTGCCGTACTTGACCTTTCAGTGTGGATCGAATGGTTTAGGATGATTTCTGTGAATACTTTCTCTACCAGCCAAATTATCCACTAGATAATAATAAATAAAGTAATGAAGCGCTACGTGTTGTTCCCATACAATGGTGAAACTGGTTCTCTGCATTTAACCCATCGCACCCGGGATACACCCAGGTGGAGCAGTGGGCAGCTACGTTAGCTGCCGGGGTGCAATTAGGGATTGGGTGTCTTGCTCAGAGACACCATGGCATGTGGGGATGGCTGGGGATTGAACCTGGGTCTTTTGGGTTCTGAGTCAGCTGTCCTGCCTCTACACTATCCCAGCCCCATGAATCAACCTGGGGTTGCAATTCCTCTTGCGTCAACGTCCTGGCAGATTAGCTACAGTCCCATGAACCTTAGACTTTTAAATAATACAGCTGTGGCGACAGGAACGTGGAGCTGCTTGGATATGGTTTTGTAGCATTTATCTTTAACGCAGAGGTCTACAATTTTCTTTCTGAGCTCCTCAGACACTTCTAGACTGCTCTTTCTGATCTATGTTCAGTGTAGGCCATACCATGATACCTAACTTCCCAGTGGCATGTTTGTTCTCTTTACATAGGCTGAAGGTGAAAAGCTTTAAAGCATCTGTGTTACTTATAAAGGTCAAATGTTTAGTTTGACTCATGACTATAACGCAAAATATTAAAGTCTTTAAAGGTACCAACAAATCTGTCTATATTTTAGCATATCTTAGTAACATAATTTTTTAATTTTACAATTTGTTTTATTTCCTCTTGCATATTAAAGTAATTCAGATATACATTAGAAAGTTATTACAAAAATTGAAGCATTGTTTTTAACTAGCTTAAAGGGTACCGACTTATTTAATGGTGTCTATAATTAAGAAATCTTTGAAAACGGTTATAACAGAAGTCATAACAAAACATGCGTAGGTGACATTTAAATGAATCGTGGTCAGAATTGTCACAAGGATGTAATAGAATCAAAATAAAACAAAGTTAGCAATTTGTGATCTACGAAAAGGTCGTTTGATATAAAAGAGCTACAAATAATTAGAGAATCACAAGACACAAGTTGGTTTAAATTGTCCCGCACAAAAATGTCAAAACATTAAGTACAAAGAAACAAAAGCCCACAAAATATTTTTGTATAAATTAAATTCCATTCAATTCAGTTTATTTATATAGGTCAAGGTTCTTTATTGTCATTCGTTGCACATTTGGTACATGTAGTGCCAAGTCACAACAGAAGTTGTCTCAGGGCACTGAACAAAAACATCCACGTACATAAAAAAGCCAATTAATAAAGGTTATTTAAGGAAGCCAGAAGATTAAATGTGGCTTATGCGTTCTTAAATTAAAAATTTGTGTCTGGCTGCCAGCTGCTACATGCATTTGTTTACCTATCGAAAAAATCGAAGTGGCTGAAAATAAGGTAAATGTTAAATTAACCATTCATATTAGTTTACGTACACAGATTAGGTTCATTGGACTCTGCGAGTGTTTTGTTTACATTAAGTGCAGACCCGCATTTCTGAATTGCATTCAACATATTTGGAAAACGAGCGAAGCAAACTCTTTCAAACTGGAGAATGCGATGCAGTTCTGGCTTCTTCTTCTTCTTTTGATTAAAGTTGATTTAACATTTTATGAAGAATTGTTGATGGGACATCAAAACAACAACTTTGTTTTTCTCTTTTTCTGTCATATAAATGAGAGATCTTCACACATATGTATTATTTCACAGTTGGCCTGTGTCTCTTTATTACTTTGCTCATTGGTTTTAAAACTTTTTATTTTAACATGAATGTTTTCTCTCCCCATCGTTGGCACCAGCTGTGTCTCCACATCATGTGATTCTGTCGACAGCAGCAACACTCCGAGCTTCACTGGAATCAATTTGTTCAACAAAAATAATGCTCAGAACCATGCAAACTAATCCAGATATCTATTTTATTAGTGACGGGTCTGGTAAACCCATTAACGTTACGGGTTATTGGCTTCCTCTTCTCCTCAGACCCTTGTTTCAGGACGTCTGAGCACATGCTAGCAGCTCGGTTGGACCAACATTGCCCCATGCCGAAGCTGAGGCGCAGCAGCAGCTCTGGAGCAGACGGTCATTTCCGACAACTCCGTATGGACCTGACGTCTGAATACGCTTGATGTTTTACAAAGGGACGATTGCAGACCTTTTTAGAGGATGGGGGAACCCTGTGACCTTCAACACGTCGTAAAGTGAGTATGGCGTGATCCATGTTGACTTGAGGTTTCTTTAGTTCTGGTAAAAAAAAAAAAAAATGCAGCAACACAAGAAAACATCGATAGCTAGCTTGCAAGCTAAGCCGGGTGAACATAATGCAGGTAAATTGTGTCCTGAAATAGAGTTATCCTCATGCTTTCTCAAAACTAAGAGGTTTCGCGACTAGAAGAATATTCACTGTGAACAAATGTTTTTGTTTTATGTCAAACGTCGCCAAAAAAAAGTATAATTAGCATACGGGCTGCTAACAGCTAATGCTAGCTTCGGGTGTTGATGTAGTTCGTCGACTAGGTTTTTTGCAAACAAGAATACTTTGATGTGTCACTCAGCCGAACTACGACTTAAATGCCGCACTTGTTGTGTTAATGTTTACAGGAAGTGTTGGCCAGCCATTAATAACATTCACCTTTACACAACAGGAGCTAACAGTTTTGAAAATATGGCCTCCGAAGAGGTTTCATGCTAGCCCGGTCAAGCTAGCCGAGTTGATTCTGACATATTTCTTAAAAGCAAGGGTCATAAGGCAGTAGGTTAGTTAAAACACGGTCTTTCTGCATGATCTGTTTTTCTAAATACGGTGTAGGTTGGCTATTTAGAAAACTTGACACAATGAAATCTGTTTGCCACTCATTTAATGCTCATTTTCACAGTGAATGCATTCATCCATTTAAAGGCCGTATCCACCCCCTCTTACACACACACACACACACACACACACACACACACACACACACACACA